AACAACTCTGTGTGTGTGGTGTGTTTACACAAGTTGTTCTTCTGATCTAAGCAAAACTGGAGGTCATATAATCTACCTACCTTTATGCTGCCTATTCATAAAGTAGTGCAGTTTGCTGCTGAGTCCTCCAGAGCAAAAACAACAAAAAGTACCAAGTTTTGCGACCCTAAGGCACAATGGGGACATATGGGAATGATTGCTTCTTAATATATCATTGTTTTGCTTTCTCCCAGATCGCCTCTATCTTTACAGATCTCAAGATAGCAATTGATAAAAGAGCATTCAGAAATAGACCTGATATTACAAAATATGTTACAGAGTACAGCTGTGCTTAACGATATTTCCCAGCCTCTCCTGTACTGCCTAAAAATTCTTGGCGTTTCACTTCCAACACATCTCAAGGCTGCCAGCTTGTGGAAGGCTGTCTCAACTGCAATTCTGGAGACAGATACCATCCACCATGCCGGTTCTCAGAACAGCATTCTATTCAGTGACTCCCCTTCCTCAGGTCATTTGTCTCTGCTCAGTGTTCATCATCCAAGGTCCGAGGATTTTCTCAAGCTTCCAGGATCATCTGAAATAAGGTGGCTGAGAGGGCTCCTTAAATCAACAGAACCCTATGGGTGGAATCCTCTCCACAGGGGATATCCTTCCAGGGACAAACATTGTTGGAGTACTAGATGGGACCCAATTACCTTCTGATAATGGCTTATTTGTGCTTGGCCAAGCCATGGACCCCAAAGGTTTGCCTTTCTTTGCATTAGTCATACTGAACACAGTTCAAAGTCCTTCTAATCGTAACTTCTCTGGAAGAAATGTGCTGTTGAGCATACCTGAAACAATTATCCAAATTAATTTAAAAAGTAAAGGGAACCTGGAAAGAAAAGGGGAGTAGGGACATTCTGCAGCAATAGTAGGGAGGAGAAAAATAGAGGGAGATGAAAAAGCATGCTGGGGTGAGGGAGAAGCTCCTGGATGAGGAAATGTTGGAGGTAAGACGGGTATGTGTGACAAAAATAATAGAGTGGACTCCAGCAATTGGAGAGGAAGATTCCCAAAGGGCATCTTGCCTACAGCTGCTTTAACTCTGGCAACATAGCTGGGCCTCACCCCCTCTACCACTTTTTTGACATCTGTCATGTGCTGGAAAGAATCCTAGCTGTTCTTCTCAGGAAGATTTTTTTTTATCTCAGTTTAGAAGATAATCTTCCATGATTTTATACCATGCTCTAGATCTGCATGGGAAGCAGATATCCAACTCTGCTCCGAGACATGAAAAAGGACCACCGTGAAGTTAGAGATTGTGCATTGGTCTTCCTTGTTGTTCTGTATCTTGATGGGTCACTATAAAGCAGTGTTTTTCAAGCTTAGCAACTTTAAAGCTAGCTGGGAATTCTGGGATATGAAATCCAGACATCTTAAGTTGCTGAGTTTGTAAAATGCTGCTATAAAGTCTCTGATAGTATCTCTTGTTCTCCATGTCTTAAGTACATGTATTTGCAATAAATGCACGTTCTTTCCAAAATTATTTGTACCGCCATTTTATTTTCTTGCATCTCACATTTGGAATTAACAACTTGCTGGCTTGGCTAAAATGGAAGTATGAATAGTAGTAAATTTTCTAACATTATTAGTTAGAAATACAGTGCAAACAGAAGAGAATAATATGCCTTGTAAACCAGAGTAACTACTGGCACATGTTACACTGGCATTCCTGCTGAATGAGGTACAAGCAATTTTTTTTTCCCACAAGGTACAAAGAATTCTGTGAACTTAGTTACTGGTAAACTTCAACCCAATAGGCAAAAGCTGATCTACTGTGGTTTGTGGCAAAGTGCCCAGATGAAGTAAAAGCTGCGTAGGACCAATTAAGAGCAAAGTTTCCTTAAACCTAGTCCTCAAAATGATCCACTCTGAGACTAGAAACCTTTGTTTACTAAACAAGATATGCAACATTAGAAGGCGGAAATTAGCACAGGACTTAAAGAGCTTCTTCACCCAGATATAATAAATTGAAAACTACAAGTAGCCCAGCCTCGAACACCCCAGAATTCATCATGTTATACGGGTGCTATGTGAGCAGTGCTGGCTCCAGTTTTTGCCAGGTGCAATTCAAGATGCTGATTATCATCTTTAAAGGCATGGGACCAGGTTATTTGTGGAACCACCTCTCCCTGTGGAAATCTGCCTATTCTATAAATCAAATAACGTGGGCGCACTCCAAGTCGTTCCCTGAAATACTTCTAGCAGACCTTGGAAATTAATCTCTGTAGCTGCTCCAGCCCACTGGAATACACTACCCTCAATATCTGGCAAGCCCCCATCCTCCTTACCCTCCTTAGCCCTGAGAGGCTGGCTCTTCCAACAAGCTTTGGGCTAAGATGAATGTTCATGTATGGGAATTTTTGTTTTGGGCACCATAAATTGTTTCAGATCTGGGTTTCCTGCTATTTTATGTTTTATTATGTCCTTGTAAACCACCTTAAGATGTACATAAGATGAGTTGCCATATACATTTTTAGACTAAAAATATGTCTAAACGTTGAAACACTGATAAATCATATTTTGTTATTTTATTGATTCATTTGAGAGCTATAAAAAGTCATTTTTTAAAAATGGAATGGTATGTCCAGTGCTATTTTTGTTTTAAAAAAAAGGTGCCAGAACTCACACACGTCATACAACCCGCCTTACCTATCCTACAAGGTTTCATCCAGAAAAGGTGCCGGAACTCCATTCTGGGCGTTCTATGACAAAAAAAGCCCTGGGTATGTCATTTTAGCAAAAAAGATCCTTGTATTCACCTGGCTAAACCTAAAAATAGTCAATATGATTTGATTTTTTTTATATTTTTCTCTCCCTTTCTCTCTACTTGTAGTTGGAGGAGAACAAAATTATTGCATACTGTGTTTCCCCCAAATAAGACCCGCTCTTACAATTTTTTTGCATCCAAAAGAGGCACCAGGGGGATATTTTCTTACTATCTTATTTTTGGGGATGACTTACCCGCTTACCTAAGGACTGCCACAGCCAGGCCTCCCACACCCCAACACTTGTTGCGCCACTGTCCACTGTTCTGTTTCTAATAGAAGATGATACCATCATCATTTTAAGATCTGCTGACGCTGCATTGATTTTGCAATGAGCAAAATGTTACAGGAATTTTGTCTGAGCAACTATAATAGTTCTGTATACAGAACCTATGTGGTGGTGCCATCAGCTGGTAACATCTGGAATTACATTTACTTCATTATTTACATTGTATATAAGTTCAAAATGAACTTTTAGAAAGAGACCAGACTTGGGATTTGAATGTTTTTTAGGATGATAGACCCATTCTGGTATTTTGAGAAATTGCTATAGGTGCTCTTGCAAACTGGCTGCAGAGGAAGCCTTGCCCAATCACAAGCTGGTTGCCACAGGGATATAACCAGTTGCTAGACTACAACTTTTCAGTACACTATTTGCCATCTCTTCTAGTTTCTCTCCAGAAAAAAATATTTCCTAATGTACCTGCTTACTTTGTCTTTTTTCAGGGCAGATAGCACACTTATAAAAGGCCACTGAGCTATAGCCAGAGTTTACGTACATATCAAGGACCCTGCTGAGAGATAATGGCTGTACCAAGGTCACTAAATCAAATTTCGTGGTTGAGGGAAGACTAGGACCTAGTCTTCCTACTCCTATTGCAACACATTAACTACTGCACCACACTGGCACTTTGAATTTATAAGGTCCCTGCAGGACCTTAGGGGGGAAAAGATGGTTTTGGAAAAACAATATTGAATTTCAGGATTTAATGACCATGGTCTAACTAGCAATTTCCAGGCATTTCATCAGCAACTATTGCTGGCATCTTCAAAGGCAATTATAGACAAAGGCAACTGAATAGGGACTGACTGGGCTGCTGTCTTTAAAGTCAAATGACCTGACCTGGTTGGTTTTAGCCAAACTGATTTGTTTTTGGTGCAGGCTGGTGAAGGCTAGTCTCACATTGGTTCTTTGTTTGTGCCAATCCTAATTGGTGGTTTTAGTGCTGTTTGATCCTGTTTGTTCATGCTGGCTTCTGATTGGTCATAATCTGCAATGCCTCTTGTAGCAGACCACCTTGCCTCTGAAGATGCCAGCCACAGATGCCAGCAAAACATCAGGAAATTCTATTGTCAATACCATGGTCATTATTGTTCTGTCCACATAACTAAAAGCTTTGCAGTTCAATAGTCAATATAGTCAAATGTAGTCAAATGTCTATAGTGAAAATCAATGTCCGAAAAAGGTGTTCAGACTAGCTACAATATAGAAGCAGGATAACTATGTATTTTATTTGATAGCTCTATCTACTTGATAGGTCTGACCACTTGAAATACATTTTGGGCAAATAATTCAGGTGGGAAAAATCTTAATGGGCCAGACAACATTGTGTATGATTTGGTAGAAATATTATTTTTTATATGTCTAAAGAAATACCAACTCTAGCATGAACTGTAGAGCTAAACTCAACTAATTATATAAAACTACTATGAGAACTGGCAATGTGGAAATAACAATGGCTTACATACAGGTTGTGAACCTCCACCACAGTTAAACTTCATGAAGGTGAAGGTTTGTTCCTCAAGCTTGTGGGCTGGTTTCCAAATGTTTCATTACTAGACTAGGTAACATCTTCAGTGGAGTTTAAGGGGTGTCAGTGTCAGTGTTCTTCTGTTTATAAGGACTTCCGGTGTGGGTGTATCACATGAAGATGTTGTCTGACCCACCTACATCTGAAGCCCTTATAAACACAAAAACACTGACACTGACTTCCCCTAAACTCCACTGAAGATGTTAGTTAGCTTGGTAACAAAATGTTCGGAAACCAACCCACGAGCTTGGAGAATGAACCTTCGTCCTCATCCTACACCCAAGCTACAGATATCTGCCATTAAATTTCATATTACAGGCAATAATAGAGTTCATCCACCATTATTTGGAAAATCCAAAAGAAACACAGAATCTGAATATTTGTTCTTGATGCTACTCATTTTTTTTCTTTAATGGAATACAGAGAAAGTATAGTTGCATATCTCAAATTATATACCATGGAACAGGTTGAAAGATTTTCTTGCTGAATAAAGCAAGCATCAAAGCCTCTGTAGTTACAGTCTGGGCTGCATTTCAATCAGTAGGTGATGGCATCTCTTGAGCAAAGGTCTGATCTGAGATGATGTCAGATAAAGAACCAGCTTTCTTTCTGCATTTCAAATGCCATCAACTCAGAATTCCCATGTTTTCTGTATGGCAGAGATGGTACTGTACTGACAGATTGTGGCAATAATCATTGTGTGGACATGTGCTAGCAAGAAAACAAACGTTCCTGTTGGCCTGATGGCATGAATTGCAGTACAGGTAGTCCTTGATTTATGACCACAATTCAGCCCAAAATTTCTGTTGCTAAGCAAGACAGTTGTTGAATTGAGTTTTGCCCTATTTTACATTTTTTTGCTATAGTTGTTAAATGAATCACTGCAGCTGTTAAGTTAGTAACACAGTTGCTAAGTGAATCTGACTTCCCCATTGACTTTGCTTGTCAAACATTTGCAAAAGGTGAAACACATGACATTGCAACTGTCATAAACTGTCATTGCAACATGCTATTTCCCAAGAGTCCAAATTTTGATCACACTATCACCGGGATGCTGCAACAATTATAAGTGTAAAAAATGTTCATAAGTCACTTTTTCCAGTGCCATTGTAACTTCAAATGGTCACTAAATTAATGATTGTAAGTCAAGAACTACCTGTAATAAAACTTCCCTAATGTCCAAAAGTGCTGTGGGACAATAGATAATGCAGAAAAACAATGAGACAAAGGAAGCACCAAGAAGAAGAAGAAAGTGATGCACGTAGGCTTTATGGAAGGGCTCTTATGTTTCTATGAAAGAAATATGACCTGAAATAAATAGAAAAAAGCAGAATAATAGTTAATTACATTATATAACTCTAGGAAAAACACCTACAGTATGTGCTGAAAAAAACGCATCTGTCATAGTCAAACTGTGACTTGTAAGGACCAAAGTTAAATAACAAAAACAAAATGATTTCCATGGTTGAAATGAAGAGTTAGGAACCATGAGGAATAGTCATAATATAGGGCACTAGTTTCTGCAGTGGGTAACACACAATTTTCTACAAACATCTGTTATTGCTCATTTTGTTGTGCTATACCATAGCTGTTACACCATCAAATACATGAATGCATATTAAGAAATCAGAATAAATAACTGCAACCAAATTGTATAGCAATACAGAAAGCAATGAACATGTAAAATGCACACAATCTTTATCATATGAAACCAGCAAGGACCAGACAGAAGGGGAGCAGTAAGAAATTAAGAAAAGGTATTTTTTTTAATTACCCCATACATTATGCTTCACTAAGAAAAACTGTATCTTCTTAAGAACAAACTGACTTATATGTTTATTAAACCATCCCACAAATTTGCGTTTAAGTCTTTGGATAAATGAGAAAAGGTCAGCACTACAATCAGGCTTAAGTTTGTAAAGTTACAACTTTCCCTTGCCCAAACCAATAGTCAATTATTTAGCCTTGCAATGGACACTAAGGAGCATGCCAATAGATAGTTTTACTCTGCAAAAAAGAAAGAGAAGATTTACAGTACAAGATTTGTACACCTCCATTTTGTATATTTCTAAGGAAAGTGCATAGCAGTGAACTGCATTTCTTGTTTTGTGATTAGAAATTGGATTATTTGGGAAACTGGCTAGGGTTAGGACTAGAAATCAAAAAAATATTATTTTGCTCTAATAGACATGGTTGAGATTTGTTTCTAAAACTGCATAGAAAGCAAAGCACAAACAAGAGTGTAGATTTTTGCCCAAGACAAAGTACATGTTTCAGAAAAGTTTTATTTATGACTATTTTCTCTTGATATTCAGCCATTATGCCATAATTGGAATGTCCATAACTGAGCCAGCAAGTCCAAATTCTAATGGGTTATTCATGCTCAGATGGCATGACGGTATACCTCTTATTTCTAAAGATCTGCCACTATCATTCTTTTAAAACAGTGGTTCTCAACCTTTTTAATGCCGCGACCCCCAACCAGTCATAAGTCGAGGACTACTCAACCCGTTGTAAGTCGAGGACTACTCAACTGATGCAGCACCGTTTGCAGAATGGGACTTTTGGTGGGCTAAGCAGGGCAGAGACAGCCTGGACAATTCCTATTGGCTTTTGAAAGCCAATAGAATTAGACTCTATTCAAGAGAGTCTATTCTACTGGCTTTCAAAAGCCAATAGAATAAAAGGGAGTAGCACAGCTAAGGAAAAGGGGGAAAAAATGGCGGACTGCATTGTTTAGCGACCCCTGTGAAATGGTCGTTCGACCCCAAATGGGGTCCCGACCCACAGGTTGAGAACCACTGTTTTAAAATTAAGATAAGGTGCAAAACCACAATGCATCTTATAGAAAATCCAATTTGAGATAAATAAATTAAAGTTTTCTTCAAGTAACCCTGATTCATGATGACTTCAGGGAAATATTTCTGTTGAATTCTTGGCATCAACAAAGAAGTAATTTGCCACTGCTTTTGAGAATATTTGTTTTTTTTTTTTTATTTTCAAGCCTGGCCTGTGCTGGTTTTTCTTGGTGATCTCTCAGGTATGACTCTGCTTAGATTTTGAGGCCAACCAATCTCACTCAGTTGCTGCCTGGGCTGAAAATATGTTATTTCCTCCAAAGAACTATTTCAGGTAAGTAGATAGGGCTGACTAGTGCTAAGATAAAGGCCTGATGTTTTTATACTGAATTGGCCATTAAATCAGTTGTATCCAAGATCTTAGCATTGGAAATGTTAATCAGGCACCGTAATCCCTTTGAGTTTGGGACCTTTAGCAATGCTGCACAAAACTGATAAAATATTTTAAAAGGATGCCATTGGGGGAAAGGCATACTTCTCATTGTCCTGTTGGTGATTTGGCAGCATCAAACATCTTCTTCCTGCCTTCCATTCCTGACATGGCCTCCACATTCTTACGCCAGTCACTCACTTCCACTGGACGTTCCTGTGAAAGAAACCAAGACGTTAGTCCTTACTTGAAGAGGAACTTAAGCAAAGGACTAACTTATACAAGTAGCGATGAAGATATACACTCTGTATATGCCATAGGAACAGAAAGGTGAGGAATACAATGTAAGGTCACATGACTAAACTTTTATAAATATAGTTAATATAGGAAGAGTTCCATAAGGGTATATTGTACTGGCAGGTTTCCAGGCATACATTATTATATGCAGAAAATAGAATCTAGACAGGCTGAGCACCAATAAACTCTTCAAAAAGAGTTATTTTAAAAAAGCAGTCTTTGGCGTTCAGGGAGTAAAGATAAATATACGAACCAAGATGTAAAGGACAGAATCAAAGCATCTTCTAATTTAAATCGAAACTGTACTGTTTAAGCACTGGAATATATGCCTGTATCCAGGCTAGCTCTGTCTGGAATTTACCATATGCTAACATTTTTCATATCTGTTTTCAGATTTATTACTATGTGTAATAAAGAAAAAGGCCTGAATCATTAAACCTTTTATTTCCTTCATCAATATCCTTGCAATTTTGATCGCATAACTGTGGGGATGCTGCGATGGCCATAAGTGCAAGGATTGATCATAGGTCACTCTGTTCAGTGCTGGTGTAAGTTTGAGTAGTCATTAAACCAATGGTTGCAAGCTGAGGATTACCTGTAGACCAAGAAAATTCCAGTCTAGAATATGCAATAAAATGCAGTGGTTTTCTTCCATGATAAAATCCTGGTTCTTATTGGCAGTGCATAGAGAATTGCAAATCATATGGATGAACTTACTAATTTTACTTTAATGAGTGGGCTCTCCAACAATTTTCACAATTCTCATCCTTCATGGGAGAAGCTGTCTTAATTTTAGTTCCTGTTCCATAATACCTTTTACAATCCTCAATCTATTTAATAATGTTCATTTACGAACTGTTAAAGGTAAGGAATATCTATCTATCTATTATTAAATTTATATGCCACCCATCTGGCCATCATGTGGCTCTATGGAAGAATATTAATCAAGAGAAAACATAAGAACATATTTCTTCATGATGACATAAAAAAATATGCAAGTACATGGGACACTGAGCAAACATGATATACAGGGCAATAGGTGAGATTTCCAGTCCCCGACCTTTTCTGTGTCCTCCTTCTTGACAGACTTGAGGTTGGCTCTGAGGTCCATAGATACTTTGTGCTTTGAGCCAAGCAGAGCTCTAAGCATGGCATCTGCAGACACCCGGACACGGCGCAAGGGAGGACGCTTGAATTTTCCCCTAAGGTCAAGCACCTTCAGTTTCAAGTCTTTAATCTGAAGAATAGACAATATACATGGTCATGTATCATAAGAGATCTAAGGACACACACACAAAAAGACTTACTCTTTCCCAGGAAAATGGTAGTAGGAGTCCAGCCCACTTGCTAGGTTACAAGAAGGAATGCTTTGGAAAGCTTCTTTTGCTGAAAGATATTCTGCATTCTGTACTAGGTATGTTAGCTGCCTTGAGTTATTTATAAAAATAATAAAGGTGGGAATATAAATAATATAAACAAATATTCAGTAGCCTCTGAAAAACTGTCACAGGAGCCATGGTTTATAATCTCAGTTTCCTTGCTTTCAGTCTGCACACATTTTATTCATTCCACTGATAAGGGGGAAATTAGCATCTCTACTAAAGCAAGAAAGCAATATAAGGTTATATATAGAACATTAGCCTGGAATCCATATTTAAAAATAATAATCCAGAGCTCTTATGGAAGATTCTGAAGATGTTCCTATTTACAATTTAAGACAAGGAATTGCTCCATTCTGGTTACCTTATGCCAGTAGGCAAAAGGGTCTAAGACAACTTGCTGCAGCCAACTCACCACAGCGAACTTGTTGTAAGGAGTTACAAGAGTTACACGAATATCGAAGAAATGGTAGAATAGAATCATTAAAGAAAGGATGCAAAGAAGAAACAAAATGAAATGTGAATGGTGAAAATTAAAATTATTTTAAAATAATTTTAAATAATTAAATTGAATTATTCAATTGTCCTGTGGCGAGTTATCCTGTGGCAAGTTGGCCATGGCAAGTTGTCCTGCAGTGAGTTGGCTGTGGTAAGTAGTCCCATTCTGCAGTCAGAAACATAGGCCAGAATTCATTTTAGAACAAAATGGGTAAAATAGTTAAAACTGCCTCATAAAGCTATTATCTAATCTGTATTAGATATTTTCTTACAGACAATGATGCTTTCTTATTTTTTGTATTAATGTGTTATTTTTATCTCAGAATTTAAATTAAGAACAATTCTCTGTCTTCTTACCTCCCGTGTGTTATGGTTACACTTTGCTTCAATATCATATCTCTCTTCATCCACAATGTCTACTTTCTCATGAAGCTCCCGGCATAGATCCTGTGCAATTAAAAGGGGGAAATGTCAAGGGATATCTTTTCCAGGCCTTGGATTGGGTTATTTCTTACTAATATTTCATTGGGGGAATATATAGGATCAGATATTTTGGTTAGGCATTGTTTCAATGCTAGACGTTGTCGATTCTGTTATTCTTTTGATCAGAACTTCAGAACTGTAAAGATCTTAAATCAGCAGCATTTGATATCAGTATTTGTGGTAGCCATCCTGTTCAGTGATCCCAAAAGACTCCACAGCCAGATATATGACATTCTTCATGAATGATCAAGGTCTAAAAATAACTTTACTTTTTTGTGGCAATTTAGGACACATTTAATAAATATACAGTATACACATAACAGTATTGCAAAGCTGTGCAGAACGTACAGATTATATACAGAAAGAAAAATGTAATGTTGAAGTATTAAGCACCATTGTTTCTTACAACCTAAAAATAATGAAATGGTGGAAAAGCATGACATTTGGAAAAATCACCAGAGCGAATCTGGTGGAAGCTACCCATAATTATCGGGGGGGGGGGTGGAGGAAGGGTGTTACTTTAAATAAGACAACAACAGTCTGTATGACTCAAGTTTAAATATTTCTGTTTCAGTTGTAGTATGTAAATATTTTAATAAATCAATCTAAATGTGGAAATAATGCAGATGACACAATAATATATGTCCTCTTTTGACTCTTGTTTTAGCGACAGCACTGCTATTGCATGACAGCACAGAAGTGGCGACCGTATTTTGCCCTACTAATATGAGAATCTTGAGATTGTGGTGACAATAAATCTGTCAAATATCAGTCAAACATTCTCATTTTATCTAAACTTCAAAAGTGACATTTTTAGATAATTTTCTTCCCAAACAGTTTCTTGAAGCATCTCTTACATCTAGTTTAGACAATAAGTCATCTGGACCCATCACTCTCTCTCTCAGTCCAGCTCTCCTCACAAAGTTGTCGTTATGGGGAAAATTGGAGAAATAAAGAACATTATGTATGTTTGCCACCTTGAGCTATTTATAAAAAAATGATAAAGGTAGAATTTTAAGAAATCTTTAAAAACCCCAATGATATATGTATTATTCCATCTTTTGGGAAGGGAAAAGATGGCATGAACTGGAGTTCTGAATTAAATTTCCTAATACAGCTCCTCAGAGTCCTGTGTAATTCAACATGTTCACCTAGACATCCACTCCATTGCCTAAACCAAGAACCTACCTGGAGTTGGGAATAGGAAAGCCCACTGATATGTATAGGTGTTATCCTTTCTGCCAAATATCTCTCCTTTTCTCCTTGTTTGTCCACTTGTTCTTGTTCCCATTCTTCTTTGGCTTTAGCCAGCATCAAACTCTAGGGAAAAAAAATAGGGAAACATTTGAAAGGTAACCTTAAAATACCTTTTTCACCATGGATCTGAAATATCAGCCACAACAAAGGTTTATGAAGAATTCCTATATATAATGCACAAGGCCGAAGCCTTCATCCAGTTCTCCAACCTTCTGCCTCCAAATGAGCAGCAGATAAAATTGGGAAAGCTATCCCAAATTTACATAGAAGAATTTGTTCTGTATCGTTACATGCAAGAGTATCTCGCTTTAATTAATGCATGATAGCTTGCATCATGACTTACCTTTAGAAGGAGTTTGCGTGAAGCTGAGATCTTGGGCTTCCTCTAAAGAGCAAAAATAAAAGAAATCAAGGGCACCATTTCAACAACACAGTGATAATCACATATTCATACTGGCAAATGTTAAGAAAAATAAATCATGGAACTGTACTTACCTCCCTACAGAAATTCATTTAAGAGAAGGAAGAAAGAGGGGGAAAAAGTGGAAAGAATAGAATGAATACATGAAATGTAATATTCTACTCAAGATACTGAAAATATGAGTGAGTGAAAACATGTTATCAGGCTGGACTCCTTAGTGATTCTGTCTGCCTTTTGAGGTAGGCCATATTTGAATACCAAAATTGTGAATACTAAAACTACTTTTATTATAGGCTTAAGTAAGAAATATGAATGTGCCTTCCCCCTCCCTTACTGTGACAAATAAATATGATTCATAAACAAACAAACAAATAAAATGTTAAGCAGAACTGGGGAGGCTCAAGTCTAGCACACTTTCTCAAATTCCATTCCTGTTTTGGGCTGAGATTTCTGTTTTCTGATCACAGCTTTGGCTGTGGCTTTTCCTCCTTTTCTTTGGGATTATTCTCCCATCCTATTGCAGATCTGCATTGATCAGGATGGATTTTCCTATCTGCTGTTGTCTTATTAGCTGTATTATTAGTCTTGTTAAAACCTCTTCTTAAAAATCATAAGCCTCTGTTAATCATAATAATCACAATGATGTCATTCTACTATGGTTCTTTAACCTAGTCTTCCTGAAACATGTGCTGTCCTCATGCCTTGAACTACAGTTTTCAGAATTGCCAGGCAAGATAGTCAATAATTCTGTAGACCCAAAACATCTGGAAAGCACTAGGATAACAAAGTGTATCCTAATCTTCTAACCCAGGGGTGTCAAACTGCCGGCCCACAGGCCAGTTGCATCATGCAGAGGCTGCATCACCTCAGCTCCGGCAATGCGAAAAATGTTGTGATACGTCATGACACATCACATGATGCGCCAAGTTTGACACCCATGTTCCAACCTTAACCATGTGATCCAATCACATGGGCTAAGAATAGAGGTTCCATTCAGACAATATCCTTTCTCTATTTACTAAAGAAAGACATTTTCTAGGTCTACACAATGTAGTCAAAACACACAAAATGCTAATTTAAAACTAAGCAAGCTCAGTATTTTAGGGAAATGAGGCTGCTAGTTTGGTAACATACTTATTATGAACGGTGGGTGAACACAACCAGAATCTGACTAAAAATGTTGTTAAAGATTTCATTACAGTTTTGTGTATTTGTCACTGCTACATGTTTTTAGAGGACTTTCCGTAAAATGGAAACATTTATATATTAAATACTGGAGCCTAGACTCAGACAATAAGAATTATTTTCACACTTGATCACATCTGCAAATGTACTCACATTTGAATAATCGACTGGTGAATTGCCAGATTTTGAGTATGAGGTAATTACATTCCTTAAACAAAAGGATAGCAATCCCCAGTAAAAGCTACTCTTATCAACTCCTCATCCTGATCATTTATGGAACACATTGCTGCATTGGAAAATCTTTGCATTTTTTTCTGCTGTGCAAAACTAGTTTATATGTTTGACCTCAAAATGATCTCTAAATGCTCTGTAACTATTGGTAATCAATTGGGTTCTGCATCTATTCTCAGCCAGTGATATTTATCGGAATGTTGGTGGATGATTTGTAATATATCACCAATATTCAGTGTTGAATCAAAACTGTTTGGCAAATCTCTACTTTCCACTTTAGCTTTTCTATAATAAAACCTTTGTGCATTGCTGAGAAATATGTAGGAATCCTTCATTTACATTTTGTATTGCACTTCTTTGCCTAATAGAGGGGAAAGAAATACTACAGGTAGAACTGACATTGAAAAACTCATAATCCAAATGATTGCCACCTTGATATATCTCAGTGATAGGCACCTGACTGTCAAGATGTCAGAGGAGGGGTTATAGAGTGAATGAAGGAGAGCAAGTTTGCCTTTGGCAAGGGAGTAATTTGTAAGTGGCCAAACCCAGCAGTTCATATGGTAAATAGGGAAGGCCTGCCTGAAACTCATTTTATAATAGTAACTATAATATTAATTTTCCAAAATGTCTGCCCCCCCATAAAAGGTTAAATATCTGGTAGTAATTTATTTACGGATTTGAAAATTCAGTGCTTGTAGCCTTCATTTGTAAAGCTTGCTGAAAAGAAAACCAAGAGACCAAAAATGAATGGGTTTCTAATTTAGAGATTTTTTTCTTTTAAAAGTTAAAACCTGAATATCAAATTTCTCATATCAAAACTAAACCTAAAAGTGTGATTTGATTAGCTTAATTTGAGAGCTATTGTCCTGTAATCACCAGTTTGGAAGAAAATCCCATTTAACTTAATGAAACTAACCTTTGAGTAGACATACACGCTTGGTATAAAATTTAAATTGTATCCAAGACATGACTTGAATCTTGGAAAACAGCAGCTCTTTATCAAGTTTTGTTCTCAACAAGCAGAGAGTGAAATGAAGGAGAGGTGGAGAAATCTATAGTGCAATATTAAGTGCATTTATCTACTTAACATAGAAGGTAAATGGAAGAACAACTCATTTTGAGATTTTTAAGCAACAAGCCTAGTTCTATTTGAAGTATCGCATCTCAAATTGCAATCATTCTGAGGTCAAAGTCAGATGATTAATCTAGACCACATGTGAATGTAGGATATCTCAGCCAATGGGGAAAATAAAATATTTACTCACACTTCAGGCATTGTGGAAACAAATGTTGTGCCTACAAATCAAAATAAAGCAATGAATTACAAGAAATGAAACAATTCCATCATTAAAAAACGAATGCAAACAATGATGCATAATATAAGCAACTTCCATTTATTCTGTATTATATTCATTTTATATTTCTTTATTCCAAGATTCCAGGTGGTTAGAAAAAGTGAGAATGAATAAAAGAATTTCCCAGCTACGATGCACTTGATATATTTTGTCCCCAAGGGGAGAGTGACAGCTCTAATGGAGTGGTAAATCCCATTGAACAAATAGCTAAAAATAATTGTTATGACAATGAACAACAAAGAATTGTTTTATTGTTATTACTGGATAAAATCAAATATATTTAAAATCAAAAAGATGATCCATAATAAATTGCATTTATGTGAAGCATTCTGTGTACGTATTTGCAATATAAGAGCTTTGCCAATATTATCAGTTCCACTTTCAGCTTATGGATATTCTCTGCATAGGTTCTTTTAAAAGTAAAGACACTGAATCCTAAATACAGACCTGGATGTTTAACTTCAGGCGATAACTCTGGACATAAAGTATAGAAAGCACAAAGTGAAATCCATGGTTTTTACTTCTGAGGAACAAGCATAGAATCGAACACAGGTTCATAAATAGAGCTTAACTCTCAGATGGATCCCCCAATGTTGAGAGAACTCAGAAGCCAAGTCCCAGCCCTGTGATGAGAATTGACAGAAGAATGGAAGGAGAAGAATCTGATAGCCACTTATTCCCACTGCTGTCTTACAGCAGCAAGCATGAGCAGGCAAGAGTTGCTTCTCCTCAATCCTCAAAGTATTTCTCCTTCTCTATCAACTTCTTGCATTCAAACCCTGCCCTCAAGACTCTTCTGAACATCTTTTTTTGGGGGGGAGGGGGTGGGCTTAACATCTTTGAACTGCAAAAATGTCCTTGCTACCATCCAACAAGAATGAGCATTTCCCACATCTCTGCTGCCATCTTTAGCTAATTAGCTTTTTGTCACCTGGCCATGATCACTGTCAAAGGGATGGGGCAGGGGATGGGCAGCAAGGGGACCCTAAGTGTCTGCCTTCTCTGCCTGCCTTATCCTTATTGTACTACTTTCTCTGTTGCCAGTCTTGTATTATGTCTGCAGAAAGTACTGGGCAATATTAAGCCCTCAAACATAGATGCCCTGGACACTTGCGCCCCTTGCCTGTAGACTCTTGGGTCCTGAATCTTTGAAGACTCCAAAGTAACAATTGGAATATTTATTAAGAGATTTAAAAATAATACTTGTCTGAAATACATTAAGATACTAAAAAAAGATTAGACTGTAAAGTGCCTAGGTGGCTTTTTTAAAGCTCTATACAGACATTTGAATAATTTGATAAATAGACCTTATCCTATGGTTTCTGTATTCAAATCCTATCTCCAGCAAAGAGGCTTAAATCAAAGTTAAATAGCGTAATCATCATTTTTTTTCAATACAATTCATCCATATTAGCTTCAAATTTTGAGCATTTTCCCATAACAAATGTAAAAGCTGGAAACTCCATATCTATAATTCAAAATAGAAGTTTTTAATTCTAACAGATGCAAATTTCTCACTTTTATATATATGATTATTCTGCAGGTCATCATTGGAAATTTCTACAATACTTATATAGAGTATACAAAATCTAAAAATATGATTCTAAGCAGAGTATTCTTATTCTTTAAAAGTAGAGTTTTTAATATTGTGTGAGTGCTACTGAAAATATTCAGAAATAAATTCATCAAATACTATAGTATTTCTACTTAGATAAATTACCTTGGAGTTTAGTTTTTCTTAAGCTGTTTGTTTGACTTCATCATTATGAAGTTAAGAAAATGCAAGATACCTACAAAACACTGAGAAGACAGTTCAGCAAAAATGGGCTCCCGGTAATCTGATACAGAAAATAAGTCTTTGCAGTTTTTCCACAGCTGAACAGGAGCTGGAATTTTGTGTGGGAGAAAATGGATGTTTAGGCATGCCAATTTTCAGTGGGCTTGCTTCACATATTTGTATTGTAATCATGTATGATATAATTATTCACATCTGCTCCCAAGGCTTTTCATAAACACTTCTCTTGAGATCTAATGATTCATAGCTGAAACTGCCCTTAAGCATCTCACTAATCTGTCTATTTTATGTATATAAGATATTAAATAATAATTAGAAAAAAACATCTCAGTTTCCCCGTGGCTGGCCTAGCAAACTTAATTGTTTTATCATGCAAAAAGAAATTGTATGAGGTCCTGTTCAGCCAGCTGATCTTCTCATCTGGCCTGATCAAAATAAAGTAATGAAGTTATAATTATTTTGCCCTACTTGAACCTAAATCATCACAGTTCCTTTGGTACATGATTACCTCAAGGCTAAGTCTTTGATCAAGCATCTTACCCTAGTGCAGTCCAGGCAGGAGAGAGATGGTGGCTGGAGAATGGAAAGGCTCAGACTGTGAACGACAGAGAAAAGGATGGGAGTAATAAATTGAAGCTTGACTACAACTGGTCAGTAAAAATAGAACGGAGACAAATACCCTTCTGGTACGCCTGCTTCCACACTGTGAATAGTCTACCCACAGACCACACATCCTTACTGTCTAGTCCTTGTGAATTGCACACATATGCACCTTGTCCATTACTTTTCCAATACTCTTGGAAGAATATAGCACCCGAGACATTCAGTTGTACCCTGTTCAATTTCAGTGAAGCTATTGTTCTTGTTCTTTTTGTTGAATTGGGAAGGGCTGGAGAGTAAAGCCAAAAATAGCGAAACTAAGCATCTAGCAAGCCAAGAACAGAATCTGTTGGCGCTGGCATGGATTCAGGCTGAAGTTTGGTGGATTGTAACAAAGCCAAAATCTGGTGATTCATTAGCATTTCAGACCTTAGAAAACAGTACTGGATAATACTATGATTCAGTGATTGAGTACATGATTTTAGAAGTTCAAGTTCTCAAATCCAGATTGTTTCCAGCATCATCAAAGAAGAAGGGCCAAGCAGAGGATAATGCAGAAAAAAACAAGCCATGGTGGCTAATGCAAGATTTAAAAGTCAGAGAGTTGTGGCTGTGATATTGCAGCTTCTTTTGTTCTAGTACAGGGGTCTTCAATCTTAGTCCTTTTATGACTTGTAGACTTCAACTCCCAGAATTCCTGTTCTAGTACAATATCAGCTGGTGCAGAAGCTGATCCTTGACCTGCTTTTTCTTGACCCAGTTTTTGCTCTTTGAGCCATAACAGTAGATAGATCTTCAAATTACTTGTGAGACTATTATAGAGAATGGAAGCAGGCTACACACTTCCTCATATTCAGTTGAATTAAACAGAGAGTGGGGCCAGCACAATTGTGTGTGTGATTGTAGTCAAGGCCTAATAATGTTTTTTTTAATTAGGTAATGCGGCCAGAGCAATACGTGTGTGGTTGAATTTAAGGCCTAATAATGTTTTTGAAATTAGGCAATAGGCAGCTTTGATGGTAATTTATCAGTCAGCTCCTGTTTTCTCTCACCCTTATCATCTTCAGGCACAGAAAATAACTATGATTAAATATACAGTATATACACATACATAGCCATTCCTTCACCTATTCCACGTTTAACTGTGAGGGAACTAAAAGATCTTTTGCAACTTAATAAAAGCATAATTACTCCAAAGTATAGGGTGCAGGCGTCCTCCTCATACAAGATGTATGTGTGCATGCATGTGTGTGTGTGTGTATTTGATCAAGTACTTGAGGCACAGGCTGCCAAGAATAGATACAAAGCTCAGTGCAACAGCCTAGCATGATGTCCCTCAAGAAGAGCCACAAATATTTAACATGCATTCACACTAACCAGACTGAACTGGCATATAAACTGCTCATAACCCTACCAATTCATCTCCATCTAATAGCCTCACACATGGATATTGTATGATTTAGGAAGACTCCCTGAAAACAATAAGGCCATACAGCATTGCTTAGGTAGGACATTTGGAAGAGTTGAAAATTAAGAAGGATTTTTTTCCCCCCTGTGGACTGCCTTTCCTACATTTCAGCTAATGTAGCAGCTGAAATAAGGTCTTTGAAGGGGATAAAGTTAAACCCAAAAAAGTAGAGTACAATGGCCAATTAGACTTAGCTCCCCCAAAGGAAATGCCATGCAAGGACAGGGAAACAGAGAACAACAACTTGCCTAATATTTGCATACATAATTAGGATAATTTAAATGGAAATGAAGGAACTTCTAAATAGTGGGGAACAATTTGGCCAGCTTTGAAACAGAGAATATCTTCAAAGAAAGGGCTATAAAGGAGGACCTATGGCCATCATAGAGGAAATATCTTACCATCTGAGAATGCTATTGTTGTCATTGCAAAATTACCTTTGGTTGGACATTTCACTAAGTGTCAGATTTGGACAAAATATAGGAGCACACATTGTGGCTGATCAGACAGATCATATGTATGACAAATCTATAGCCAGGATTGATAAAAATGGATGAGAACTATGATTAAAGAATTGCATTGAAACTAGGTTGATCAGAAATGGAGTGACCCATAATTTTATCTCAGATCCATACAAAAACCAAGGAAAATCCCAGTATTTACTGGGGGTGGTGGCCTTTGTTAACTGTCCCCTATCTCATTTCTGATTTCACCTCCCTTTCTGACACCCATGAGCTTTTCTTGCACCTGTTCAGCCATATATTTTTAGAGAAGAAGTTATGAGAACACAATTCTATAGTCGGGCAAGGACAATGCCTGGCATTTTAATCCTTGCTGCTATTATGGTTCAGGCAGAGAATATAAGCAGGAGCTTCAACTTTAATGACTGACAGAAGGAACAGGCATAGGGTTTCTTCTGCCCTACTGCCAGGGTGTGCATCCAAAAGATCAACAAGGCAAACCCATCTGTATTTATAACAATTTTAAAAGTCATCTGTCCTGAAGAGCTCAGGGCAGTAAACATGTTCTGCCTTCAACTGTATGTTTGTGTCTGCACACAAAGATTCAGTTATTTGAGCTAGGACTCCTAGTCTAGACAGGGGTAGCTCCTATCTCCAAAACTGATCTGGGCAGATCTTCAAGACATGCTTTATTTTAACAAGGATTTAAACAAAGCATCCTCTTGAGGCTGATTTACAAACCAACTGGATCCTCTTATGTCAAAAGCATAGAACAGCCATGTTGCGTTACTTTGCTCTTCTTTGCTTCATTCCTTTCTCCAAAAGCAAGTATCAGAGAAGGCTAAAATGAGACAGTGAAGTGATATAAAGTACTTTTTCAAGACAAATCAAATTATCTCTTCACTTGATAAGTTTGATAACATCATCTTCACAGCATAAATGCAAATTATACATTATCATTGAGTAATCATAATTGTGCCGTATACCGAATCGAGGTTAAGAAAATTTGCCTTCGATTCTGAACTGAAATCAATGGGACTTCAGTTTATCCAATAACACAATTTAGTTCAATACAATAGTTAACATAATAGCAATAGCACTTAGACATGTATCTTTTCATAGTGCTTTAAAGCACTCTCTAAGTGGTTTACAGAGTCAACAATGGATCCTCATTTTACCAACTTTGGAAGGATGGAAGGCTGAGTCAATCTTGAGCCAGTTAGGATCAAACTCCTGGCAATGAGCAAAGTCAGCCTGCAATACTGCATTCTAATCACTGTGTCCCCACAGCTTAACATAACTCTTAATCTGAGAAAAATATATTTGATTTGAAGAACTGCAGCCAGGAGATCTTGGCTGGGTTTCCATTTGTGCCCTTTCTTGGTACAAGAGAACATAGTTATATTGATTCATGCCCTCATTGTTACCTGTGGGGATTACAGCCATACACTATATGGGCTCTTGAAGAATATTCAGACACTATAACTGGTCTTTCTTTCTTACAGACTCCTGATTGAGGATCATAAAAAAAACCCTCTTATTCAGTTACCAAATAAATTCCAAGTATCATTTAAAGAGCATGTATTGATCCATAAAGCCCTTCTGGCTTGACTCCTCACAGGATTGCCTTCTTCTATCTACATTCCACCTCTTGGAAATGTGGAATCATTAATGGCTATCTGATATATTGACCAACATATCAGATAGCCATTAATGATTCCACATTTCCAAGAGGTGAGGCAAAACCTGATGGCACAGCTTCTCTATAGCAGAGTTATTGCTCTGAAATGGCATCCTGTTGGAAAGCAAACCCAGCCATCATTACTGCCCTTTATTCCAGAAAGTATTTTCATGATTTGACTAAATCAATGGCTTGCCAACTTTATATTATTTCATTCTGTGTGTCACTTATGTTGGTACTCTGTGTAGTTGTTCAAACTGTCACTTCACTGTATTCTTTTAAGCTACCGAGAATATGGTAGGATATGAATCTAATAAATACATATTTACCTGGAATTCCAACATTTCTTTAAATCCAATATAATAAGTAAGAGAGGTTTCTCAAAGAAAAGTATGTCCTACTTACACTCTACCCTTTCCCAACCTGATGAAGCTCTTTGGAGACTGATAGTTAGAGTGGAACACATTGGGAGATCTTCATGCTGGAGTTGTCACATTGTATTCCATAAGATACTCTCTTCCTGAGATTTTAGCTTCAGAAAGAAAGCATATTTCATATGATGAAAAGAGCTTGGATATTTTAAAAATTATTCTTCTATTGAACTAGGAACCACTTATTGAATATTTGTTTTGTTCTGTGCTTTTCAGTCAACGTTGACCTCTGGTGACTGCCTGGACCCAGAGGTTTTCTTGGCAGGTTTCAGAACTGATTTGTTATTGCTTTCTTCCTAGAGCTCAGGGTGAGTACTTGGCTCAAGGTCACCCAGCTGGATTTGTACTTAAGGCAGGACTAGAACTCATAGTCTC